AACCACCCCGCGACCCCCCCCCCCCCCCCCCCAAATCCCACATACATGCACCTACGGGGAACACGGAGGCGCTGGGGAGCGTAATTTGTATCCGGCAATGAAAAAAAAGAATTCATTATAAACCGTACAAATTATCAAGAGATAAGTGTTAAATTTTGTATATAATTTTATATATGACAAGTCCAGGGTAAACTGGTAATTATTAAACTTACTCATAACTAGTATTAAATTATCTATAAAATATACATGTTGTGCAATACTTATACATTTATAAGTGCGGTGTAAATGAGTATTTTATTTTTTATTATTTCAGAATGTAATTTGTTTATTTACTTTCAATAAACAAATAATTTTTTTGTTTTCGACTTTTCAATACGTTTGTGCCCCCTTCGTAGAGTTATCACGCCCCCTTAAGAGGGCGCTCTCCACAGTTTGAGAAACGCTGTTCTAGAGTCAAATGTACACAGCATTTCATTTTTTTTTTGTGTAAATCAGTGCTTTGACTACAACTTCAATTTATTTTAACACGCAAGCTGTGGCAAGTTCGGATAATCCAATATGTTTCAAAAACACAAACAATACGTTTATTTAATTACTGAATTAATTATTCATGATTCTTACGTAGTATGGAAGCTCAGAATCTATACAATTGGGGTTCTCTTTTCTTATTTCTTTTAAAAGTCGCGCGTGCAGAATACCATTAAATAATTCCGTCATAATTTCTTTTTCTTTGGGTGCAACCGAAATGTGCTAAAGATGTCGACTTACAAGAACGAAGATTTACAACTGAAGCGTGATTAGAGAGGTGATGTTGGGAAAGGAAAGATTTGTGAGAAAATATGTATAAATGCTAATGAATAAAAACAAAAGGCACTGAAAAGAGATATATATGTTCAGAGGAGAAATATATCAAGAACAATGTATTACATTCGTACAGAATTGTCAAAATAAAATGGGTGAGCGTTTATAACTTTTGCGATGAATGTATCGGACATTTGAAGATAAAAAAAAATCACACGAAATTATAAGTACATTTTTTAAAGGTAAAGCCTTATAAGTCAGGGGCGACGAACCTTTATGGATCAACGTGCCATTTTTTCTAAAGTAGTGTTTAATGAGGTATAGACGTGTCGTCACATAATTTTGACGTGATTATTAGGAAAATAATAAAACTATATTGTAACAACACAAAAACTTTATTTGGTTTGAAAAAATTCCTTTTGCACTGTATAGTTGTAAATGCTTTAGTTATGCGTGCAATTCAAATTCAGGTAAAAATTAGTGTGACTTCTATTGTTGCAGATTGTTTATGGAGGACAAATAACTTATATTAGGATTGTAAGATATTACTTTTAGTAGAATGCATGCTGAGTTGAACTTATCTGTCAAACAGTTTCTATGTAATTAATTATGTTTCCTGTGGTTCATTTTTTGACAAGATTTGTGATTTGTTTCAAAATGCAGTCTTACAGACGATGCTCTGCATACCACTGTTCCAGAACATAAAACACACACCGCTTTGCCTCCTTTATTAATAATGCCGTATTTCTATAGATTCACCAAATTTGAAAATCTCTGTTGCACTTACTATCTTGCACTTTTTTGAAGTTATACTTCTTTTGGGGCGTTAGAGAAATACGATGAGGGTAAATTTTTACAATGCTCGCGCACACCATCATGGATGCGAAAATCCTTTGTCTAGAAATGTACAGAACGGGACAAATCATTCCCGCCTTCGAAATTCTCAGAAAAATATTTCTCTTCACTTCCCTGAAGAAGGAAGCATTCGGGTTTGAACCGGAGACCTCTCGATCTGCAGTCGAATGCTCTACCACTGAACTATATCTCCGCGTCAGCGAACCTTTGCTTTGCCTACCGTTGGAAAGGATACAAAAATGCTTTTTCTAGAAATAAGCAGAACGGGATAGAACATTCCCGCCTTCAAAGTTAGTATCGTTCAACTCTGCTCGTGATCGCCTTTCTTCCTGGGCCCACAGCTTGCCCTGCTAAAGATTTTTAGAAAGATTTTAATCTTGTTACGCCATAGAATTACGCCACGAATAGAACGCCATATATTTTTTTGTTCTTTTGCTGAACTAGCCATGTTAAACAATAGTAAATATAACACAAATAAACTTTAAAATACTGTTGTGTCAACGAAATTGACTATGCTATGCGTAGACAAATTTTGCATCATAAGCAACTCTTGTCCACGACGTAACCAAGGCAAGACAATAACAAACCAGTGTGCTTCCCCGTCGAACCGCGGCTAATCACTCGTATTTATTTGTAATATTTCACAGTGAACTTTGTTATCTTGAAATAAAATACGAACCATTTTGATCACTGGTGTACCCAAAATATTGTGTCTCGTGCCATCCGTGCCATCAATGACACGCGCACCACTGGTTCGCCATTCCCGTTATAAGTGCTGTGGTGGATAATGACTCAGAGACAACGTTAAACAAAGTTAAAACCCCAGATAGGATATATATAGTGCATTAAAAATATATTTTAATTCTCTCGATGTAAGGTATACGACTACTTGCGACAACTTTTTTTTTAAATAATGGATATACGGAGATTTTTTAGTGGTTTTTAGATTTAATTAGTACATTTAAAAAAAAGACTAAAATTAAGAATTGAAAAATAAATTATTACTACTAAAATGGGTAAAAATATTGACAAAATATTGCATAAACGGGGCCCGCTCTTTACAAAGAGTAACTGAACAAATTCTCAATTTTTCAATTTTGATGTATTACTTTGCTTTTCCTGTTTGAAGTGACCTTCAGGATAAGAGATATTTTAATTTTTACACAAAAAATAGAGCGCTTTATTTTAGATGTTATATGAAATTGCTTAAAAAAACAGTGATTTTATATTCACATAAAGAACTGTAAATTTTGTAATAAGGCAGTGATTTATAAATCTGAAGGTTAAAACACTTCTACTTTTATACAGAATATACACAAAAAATTTCAGCAAATTATTTAAAAAACTCTTTGAGCAATCGCGGTCCCCGTTTGAGTTTTTCGAAAAAAAACACATTTCGAGTCAAACGCATTTTAAAGTTTGACACCTTATGTAAATTTATGGCATCTGCTTTTACTAAAACACCTGTAGTTTTTGTTCTAGTGAATGGAAAATATATATCTTTATAATATCTAATATATATCTTTAAATATATATATATAAATATATCTTTCTTGGTATTTTTATGAAGCTGATAAGATGGCCGATAAAATAAAATCATAAAATAAATTTGTCCATTTTTAAAAAAAATCATGATTTTAGGGTAGTCGGATACCTTAAAAATCGAAAATAATTACTGAAAATTTCGGCGTATAACACGCACTTCTAAGATTAAAATAACATCGATAATTACGAGTAATATAATAAATATTACTTTAAAATAGAAAGAAGACGAGCATAGAAAATAAGACTTCACTATAAATCTAAGTACTGTTCATTTAAAAGAAATGCGTGACATGACTTATAAACTTTCAACAAAATGAAATACTTTATGAATTTTCTCTTGCCCTCTCCCTCTTTCTTGTGCTTTAGGATTGCAGTTTTAAGAAGTATACAATTTTTCAAAAGCCGAAGGCAATATTTCAAATAAATGACTTCAAAAGATAAGAGTATGTGTGTATTTAACCCAGTGTTTCTCAAATTGTGGGGTGCGCCTCCCTTGGGGGGGGAGTGACAACTCTACGATGGGGGCGCGAGCATATTAAAAAGTCGAAAACAAAAGACTATTTAAAAATTTATTAATTTACATTTTGACATAATAAAAGATAAAATACACATTTACACTTATAAATGTATCAGTGCTATACAATTTATTTTATAATTAATTTAACAAGTTTAATGATTACCAGTGACCCCATTTGATTGTCATATATAAAAATAACTTCAAAAATTAACACATATCTTGATAATTTGTACGGTTAATAACTAATCCATTAACTGTCGATTAAAAGTTACGGAATCCACTTCACAATGCCAACAGTTTTCCTCGTAGGTGCGCGTATGGGATGCATTGAGGGAGGGGGCGGGGAGGAATAAAGAAGACAATAATCTGGAATAAGTAAATCTCTTTTGCAAACATTGTCAAGGAATGCCCTTTTATTGCATTTCAAAGCTTTCGGAAAAATTTTATGGATATCATGGCTAAAAAAGGTCATACTTCGGAAAGACGTATATATACGTTAGGGGAAATAAACAATTTGGCTTATATATAGCAAGACGTTTATATACGTGGTGGCAAGAGATAAAACTCATATAGTAGTTTTAGCGTCAAAGTATGTTATTCTTGCATTCAATCCATTGTTCTCGGCTCCGGGGCGCGGCGATGAAAATTATGACTGAATATTGGGTCGTGAATACGGAAACTTTGAGAATCACTGGTTTAACCTAATCATAATAATAATTTGTAATGTAATAATAGTACTTCAATTGACAATTAGTGGGCATGGTTTGGGATCACGGATTTAGTTCAAATTTTGTAGGTGGTAGATTTAGTTTCCCTGTTGATAAAAATATATGGTTATGGGGACCACTACTCATTAATCTTTTAGATATTTGCAATTGAAAACGCAATTTACTCGAAATACAAAGCAGCGGATATTTATATCGATCCATATTTGTTACTAGAATTCATTCCTATAAGATTTTGCGCAGATTCATTGACGCTGCAAAAGAATAACTTTTACTGCTCCACAAATTAAGTTAGGGCGACTTTCTGGAAGTTCCTAACACACTTCAGATGTCTGTTACGCAAGAGATAAAATATGGGACTAACGACAAGTTGAAGTGGATGCAATCAGGGACATATTTTCCTTTTTCCTTGAATTGTTGTAACCGAATTTTCCTTCATAATTTTTTTCTCCCAATCTCTCTATATTGATGGGACACTCCTTTTTTCGGAAATAAAGCATCGTGAGAATTTCTTTATTCAAATAAAGGAATTTAGATTACATGGGCAAGCTCTAGTTTAAAGCACAGTTATAAAAGCAATTTTTAAATTTTGCACTAGTATTGAATGTTACTAGATCAGTGCTTCTCAAAGTTGCAATACTCGTGACCCAATATTCAATCATTATTTTCATCGCCCCCCCCCCATTTAATAACAATGCACTGAATTCAATATAACACTATACTTTGACGCTAAAACTACGATACGACTTCAACCTCTTAAGCACTCCCCGTGTATATAGACGTCTCGCTAAGCCAAAGCCATTATTTCTCCAGACGTATATATACGTCTTTGCAAAGTACGATTTTTTCTGTGCACTGCTATCCGTAAAATTATTCCAAGACTTTGGAATGCAATAAAATGACGTTGACAATGTTTGCGAAGGATTTACTTATTTCAGATTATTTTTGCTTCTTTATTCCTCCCCCCTCCCCCAATACATCACATACGCGTGCCTACATGGAAAGCGGTTGGCATTGGGAAGCGAATCGTGAAACTTATGATCGGCAGTCAAGGTTTAATTATAAACTGTACAAAAATTATCAAGATAAGTGTTAATTTTTGTTATAAATTATATATATGACAAACCCATAGGGTCACTGGTAATTAATAAACTTGTTTTTAACTTATAATTATTAAATTAATTATAAAATGCATTGTGTATCACACTGATATATTTATAAGTGTATTGTATCAGTGTAAATGTGTATCTTATTTTTTATCATGTCAGAATGTATTTTGTTTGTTTACTTTCGGTAAATTAATAATTTTTTTAAATAATTTTTTGTTCTCGACTTGTCAATAGGCTCGTGCCCCCCTTGTAGAGTTGTCACGCCCCCTAAGGGGGCGCACACCACAGTTTGAGAAACACTGTACTAGATTGATAACAGATTAGTACTAAATTTTACCTACGCCAGTCGTATTATTCGTTTTACAATATATATATATAACGTTAATGCTCATTAAAATCATTCTACCTAGCGTAAAATCCGGCGTATAACATGCACTTTTAACACAAAAAATAAGATCGAAATTTAAGGGTGTTCATTATACGCCGGGTATAGCAATGATAGCTTTGAAAATAATATAAAAAATCATGAGCATAAAGAAAAATTTCACTTCTGCACACATTGAAATACTTTTTATTTAAAAGAAACGAAATTCCTTAGGAACTTAGAAATTTGTAGTTCTAAGAATAAAGTATTGTTCAAAAGCTTAAGATAATACCTGGAATAAATATTTTCAAATCATAAGAACACTGTCTAAGTTCACTTCAGATTTCTTCGTAAAAAAAAGGGGGTGCGTGTTATACGACGAATATACTCAAAAATTAAAAATTGCAGCTTGAAAGTATAGGTACGCATTATACGCCGGATTTTACGGTAATTAAATTGTGACACAGAATTCTTATTTTGAATCACAAAGAAAATAAATGTAAGGTAAGATATCAATTTTTAATCAATCATATATTTCAGCCAATAATAGATAAATTAATTATCTTAATAATTATTAAAATTACTATTAAGAAATCAAAGGAGTCTGTAAAAAAATGCGATTTTATGGTAAACCCACAACTATTTGATGCGAGTTTTCATTTAGGTTCATGTTACTTCAAAATGATTCTTTAGAATCAAGAAACTAAACGACAAATTTCAAAATTATTTGTTTAACTAAACTTATTTTAGATTTATGATAAGCAGTAAATTAAGGTTTAGAAATAATCAAAGAAACATTCTTTTTATAGTTAATAATTCAGTATCATTTGCTGTAATATAAGATAAAATTTGGCTCCTATAACAACATTTTTATGATTCATCTATAACAAGAACTGTCTTCCTACCTCAACTCAGTGATAGATGAGTCCATTT